CTGCATTTCTTCCCGGTATCCGACTTTCCCACTCCCCTCAGGGTTTTGGTCACTGTCCCCCGACGAACCTAGTTTAAAGCCCTCCTCACTAGGTTTGCAAGCCTGCCTGCGAAAATGCTCCTTCCTCTCTTCGTTAGGTGGATCCCATCTCTTCCTAACAGTCCTTGTGCCCAGAACAGAGTCCCATGGTCGAAGAAACCAAAGCCCTCTCTGTGACACCACCTGCACAACCACGCATTTACTTCCTCAATTCGGCTATACTTATCCAGTCCTTTCCCTTCAACAGGGAGGATGGACGAGAACACCACTTGCACTCCGAATTCTTGGATCCTTCTTCCCAGCGCTACATAATCCGTAGTAACGCGCTCAAGGTCATTCTTGGCCGTATCGTTAGTTGCCATGTGGAGAAGCAGGAAGGGGTAGCGATCTAAAGGTTTGATCAGTTTGGTAAGCCTCTCAGTCACATCGTGAATGCGAGCTCCCGGTAAGCAGCACACCTCTCAAGATTCCAGGTCCGGATGGCACATGGATGGCTCAGTCCCTCTTAGCCGGGAATCCTCAACCACCACCACCACCCGTCGTTTTCTTTTGGACTATGCATCCCGTGCCTTCCAGTAGATGGTGTTCCCTTCCGGTTTCTTCCTTGTGAGGTCCCTTCCAAAGCATTCAGCACTGCAGAGTCTGTGGAGAGAGCCACACACTAATGAAACCGTTTTAAAGCAAATTTTAAACTAAGGTCCTGCAGACTAACACAGTAAATTCAGAAACTGAAAATATATACCTGGAGTTTGCAAATGCCTGTTAAATGGCTTTGCTACCACTTGAATGGATCCTTCGCAGGGCTGATGTTCTGCTAATGGCTCTGAAAGACTTTTTCACTTTTAAGTTAATTAGATCCTCTCTGGAGGAAGCAGAGCCACAGACCAGGGATAGGAAGAGTGGGTGAGTGGACCTGCTGGGTAGTGAGTATCTGCTGGGTAGAGCTTTGTTTCAGGAAATGTCAGGAGGAATGGTTACTAGTACTATATACTCAATGCTACTATAGCTGATCTATGCCTCAAGCCCTCTTTTACCATCTCAGAGGTATATGTTGGCTAAGTATGTCAGTTAATCAGTTACTGAGAACTTCACGCCCTTCCCTCTCCCCTTTCAAATTCCCTCTCTAAACTCCCTGTTAGCAAGCTCCTTGGTCTCTTGCCCACTGCCTTATAAAGCCCTGGAGTGCCTGAAAGTTCCTCCCCTACCAAGGCTCAGCCAATCAGCAGAGGGTTCTAGAATTCAAACTTTAATTAGAAGCCAACAGTTTCCACCTGCCAATCACAGCACACACTCCATGTAGGGGAGGGGGAGGGCAAAGGGGAAGTCGGAAAAAAAAGCCTCACTCTCAAACACGGGGAAAAACAAACAAAAACAAAAACAAAAAAAGAATATACACCAACCCTCACTCACAAACACAAGCTCAGCACACAGCAAGAAAGCCCCAAACACAACACCCACTTCCCTCAAGAGTCCTGTATCTGCTTCTCCTTTACCTGGAGAACTCCCTCTCTAAAATTCCTGTTAGCGCTCACCTGTTCGCAAGTCTTGAAGTAGTTCATGTCTGATACTTTTTTGGCTTTGTCAGGGACACAAATCAGACATAAGGACTGGTAACATACAGAAACCTGTAGGGCAGTGTTTCTTAAACTTTTTAAGACTGAGGAACACCAAACAAAGATTTTTTGCTGAGGAAAAAATAAAAAAAGTCAGGGGGGAAACGGGTCAGGGGGAAAGTTATTGAGAGGAGAAAAGGGTCAGTGGAAAGTTTTGTTTGTTTTTTGGTTTTTTTTCCCTCAATAAAAGGTAGCCTGCCCCTTTAAGGGTGGCCATTTTGAATTTTGTTCTCTGCGGCACACCTCCAACTGTGCCACGGAACACAGTTTAAGAAACACTGCTCTATGTAGATCCTGTAGGTGTTTGTCTCTGTCTGTAGGATCAGAGCAAATCCAGTTGTATCTTAGGGCTTGGCTGTATACAATAGTTTGAGAAATGTGTCTGGGATGGAAGCTGGAGGCATGCATAGTTGAGGTAAACATTTGGCTTCTCAGTTTTGCCAAATGCAGAAGGAAATGGAAAGTTACTTTGAAAATATTTTTCCTACTGACTCTGCATTGCCGTGCCTGGAAGCATTTTTTTCCTGCCAACAGTCTTTTGCAGGGAAGAGAACCTTGCAGCAATTTATTTTAAACATTGATATTAGGAATATAACCTCTGTTTACTCACTTGCCAAGAAATATCTTACTTGGCAAACTAACTGCTCTCTTAAAAGTTGTTACTTCAATGTGTTACAGACTAATAGCTTTAAAAAAATTTGTTTAGGTCATATAAATCTGTGTCTCTCTGTATTCAATTTTGCTAGCTCATAAATGCTTCCTAGACCATGCTAAGAGATACTAATGTAGCTTTTTACAAATTACAGATATTGATGAATGTTCATTTGAAAGGACATGTGACCATACGTGCATCAATCATCCAGGTTCTTTTGAGTGTAGTTGTAACAAAGGATACATCCTTTATAGCTTCACATGTTGTGGAGGTGAGTATAAAGAGATGCTAGTGTATATGTTTGTCAGAAGGCTAGAACAATGCTCATTAATGTCAAAGGGTCCCAGGTGGCTAGGAGCCAGGCTGTATAGCAGATTTACCCATTGTCTTTCCAGGCAGTTTTTCCAAAGGGAAGACAGTTCAAAAATGAAATTCAATCCTCTATCCTTGGCTATGTCTTTTTGTTTAAATGGTTTCTCTCCCTCCATCTATGGATGGGAAAGCAACAGGGATCATTAAAACAGATGCATTCCACATGTAGAAATGAAGGTTACATTCAACAGTGTTTCCACATGAAAAAACTCCCATTGATTTCAAGTGAAGCTCTGAACGTTAATTGCACATACAAGACAGGGCTTCAGATGAATTATGTTAGCTATGTTGTAGGCTGTCTTTAGAATACATGCCTATTACTGACAAGCCTAAAGGCCAGATCCTCATCTGATCTAAACTGGCGTAGCTCCACTATAGTCATAGAATTACACTGGTTGATACCAGCTAAGAATTTGGCCCTACAGTGTTTACTTCTGATTCACAAGGAAACCTGCAGTGAAAGAGACCAGTATGTTGATATGAACCTTGGTTTAATGTCTGAGGCAAGTGGAAACTTGCAGAATGTTCTTAAAAGTAGCCTGAATTATTTGACACTAAATGAAAACAAAACTGTGTTCATGTGAAATGTATTGAATACAATCCACTTATAGGCATATATGACTGCGAGGCAGACTGGGCAGGCTTAACCTTGAGGACCATGATGCATGTTCACAATTCTCTTTTGCATCATATTGGCTGTTTCTAACCATGGGGATGAATTTAGGCAGGGATTCTCAGGCGAGCCTAAGGAAGATAGTTAGATACTCCACACCCATTTCAATGAGAGTTGGGCATCTAACTCCCAAGATCTCCTTTGAAAAGCCCAGCATCATTGATAATTAATTTGAGGGGCTAATTACAGTTGGCTTGAGCTTTGTCTGATGAAGACAGATAATGTTCAGACTTCCTCACACAGTATTGCTATTCCCTCCTCTTCTCCATGCCCTTCAACCTGCTACATCTCTGCCATTTCAGTCCTGGAACTTACTTAGGCAGAGACAGACGATCAGTTTTGTAGTGATCTTGCAATGTGGACAAACAGGAACAAGTTAACTTCCCTTTTGTACTTAATCCAGTCTTATGTGAACTTTCTTCTGACAACACTGGGCCTGATTCTGTCACCCTTGTTCACACTAAGAACTCAGCCAAAAGGGGTAACAATATGCTAGAGAGTATTGCTCCCATGTACTCTTTAACAGCAAGATAAAATGCATTGCAACGTATTTATGCACCTAAACATTTAAGACAAATGATCACTGTGAATCCTGTATCCCTGTGGTCACCAACAGGTTGATCGCAATCGACCCTCGACCAGTCGATCATGAGGCGTCCTGTCTGCCCCCCTCATT